ATAATGGTACAAGAACCATACCTTTATAAAGACTACTTTCCATATTTTGGCAAATGGACTACCTTCCTTCCACGTGGATACACTGCTAAACCAAAGACTGGTATCTTCATCTGCAACCCAAACGTGGACACTCAATTCCTTCCCAACCTCAGTTCTATGTACGCCACTACCATTGCTATACATAATAACAGCACCAATCCAGTTTTTCTTACGTCAATATATTGTTCTCCATTCTGGGACATTGTACCTCTGTTGGAGGAACTGGAAAGAATCAGCTCCTGGACCAATGGTCGCCCATGGCTAATAGGAGAGGATGCCAATGCTAAGTCACCAGTATGGCACAGTGATATAGAAGACCCAAGGAGCCATGCCCTTCTCGAAATTGCCTCCACAAATCAACTTTTATCTAACAATACTAGCCCCTTGTCAACCTATCACAGCAATAAAGGTGACAGCTGGGTTAACGTGGTGCTTTCAAATAGCAACATGACCAACCTTATTGTATATTGTAGCACACAAGACTATCCTAGTGCCAGTGATCATAGATATATTAAAAGTACTTTAAACCTAACAGGCAAATCTGTTCACACCGACAATTATGTAACCAAAACTAACTGGAACACCTTTCGTGAGCAACTTACAAGCTTTTCAATATTCCAGGAGCATTTAACAGAGATGGACCAAAAAGACATTGATAAGTGCATCACCCACCTAAACAATTGCATAAAAACCTGCTATCTTAATACCTCCCACCAAACAAAAGCCAGAACTTCAGTACCATGGTGGGACAGCAAGCTCACAACTGTAAGGAGAGAGGTTAGAAAGTTAAGAAAGGCATACCAGAAGCAACACGATAGTGACCTTTGCAACACCCTTCGCGCTGCCTATATCAACAAGTTTAATAACTACAAAACCTTAATTAGCCAAAAGAGACATAAAGCCTGGAGGGAGTTCTGCAGACGATTCGATAAACCCTGGACTGAACCCTACTATGTTGCCTTCAAAAAATAGTGTAAAACGGGAATTCCCTTGCCAATCCACAAATCAGATGGTACTCTAACTGAGGGAGCTCAGTGATACAATAAAAACCATCTTTGACCACCAATTTCCTACCGATAACCAAACTGATGACAATAGTGTGCATAAAGAAAACCGGGACCATTTTAGATTCGCCCCAAACACATGCGACGATCCTCCTTTCACTTACAGTGAAGTCTCCAAAGCCTTTAAAAAGGAAACCTTCGAAGCACTTCCAACATTCTTTGTAGTACTATATAATCGGTGCCTTCAGATTGGGTACTTCCCTGATGAATGGAAGTCTGCCTCAGTCAAACTTATACTAAAAAACAATGAACAACCACCCACCAGCCCCAGTGATTACAGACCCATTTCCCTTCTGCCAATCATGGGTAAAATCCTGGACAGACTTATCACCAACCACCTTATGAAGAAAAACTATATCAATATCAACCAACATGGATTTGTTCTTGGTAGGTCAACTACCACAGCCTTGGCCTCGATCATTGATAATATAGAAAAAGCCAAGAAAGATGGTAAACACACTGTTCTAATTTCCAAGGAGCGTTTCATAACTTATGGTGGCTGGAAATCCTGCATCAATTCCGTGAATATCACTGCCCTAATAACATTTTTAACATCATGAGTAGATTTCTTGAACATAGACACATATAGAACGTATAGAGGCTTTTATACAAACAATCTCTCCTACACTCATTAAACAGCCAAGGATTGCTTTCAGGGGTCTATAGCCGGCCCGACCCTCTGGACTCTAGTTCACAATGACCTTCTGAACATCTGCAACAGGATTCCGGGCTTCTTGGTGCAAGGGTACACCAATGACATGATGGCCCTCCTATGCAATGTAATAATGGACACAGTCTACAAATGGAGCACTGATAGTAAACTGCCTATAAATTACATCAAGTGTAAGTACATCATTTTTCCAAAGCATGCTAATTGCCCAACCATTTTTGAAGGCTAATAATGATGTTTTTACATCATTTTTAGCCTTCAAAAAGGCCCAACCATTAAAATCAACAATACAAGAATCTCTAGGACGAAGGAGTTAATGTATCTTGGGGTAACCCTGGACAAAGCACATTGACAACATTTGCAAAAAGGCAACAGTAGTCTCCAACAAACTGATTAGTATAGCAGCCAATGGGGATCAGATATACTGCTATCTGATATCTAAACTGGGGGATCAGATATACTGCTATCAAATATATATATACTAGCAGGTGGGCCCGGCGTTGCTCGGGCAAAAGTAACGATAACTAAGATAAAGATTATTACATTACAGTAAACCTTACCCGTTTTCACAGAATGCAAGAATTGGGTCCCGTTGTTTCCAGACTAATTAGAAAATTTTTAGANACGAAAAAAACTGCATCTGCGTCTTGCATGTCGCTTTCTCTTACACTTCCATTGTTACTTAGTACTTCCATTGTTGACACTTCCATTGTTACTTAGTACTTCCATTGTTGACACTTCCATTGTTACTTAACACTTCCATTGTCGAAGCCTTAATCCTGTATCTCTCCCCCGGGGGGGAATTTCAAAAAATCCTTCTTAGTGCGCGTTTTCGTGACGTACCCTAAATGTGTACAAAATTTCAACTTTCAACTCCTAACCGTTTGGGCTCTGCGCTGATTATTATTATTATTATTATTATTATTATTATCAACCCATCTCAATTATATATTAGATTTGGGTGCCATAGAGCCCATTATACTTTATGCTGTCTCTATCCTGGGAAAGGCCACCTTCAAGCAAGCAAATATCAAAAAATTTAACAAAGTCCAGAGAATTGCAGCATTGCAAACTGCCAGGGCCTATCACACTGCACCCACCTTGGCCCTTCTGGTCATAATCTGCCCTCTATACCTTAAAATTAGAGCAGCTATGTGGTCTTGGAATCTGAAGAACACAATCAACCTCTCTAATTGGAAAGATAAAATTCAGCACAAAACCCTTCCAAACTTTTCTGACAAAATCTACCAAGACCTCATTACCAACAGTATCGAGAAGAAAATTCCAAACTCCTATATAGAAGAGCTGTGGTCTCGTCCCTTCCTTGTTCTTACAGTAAGATACTGCCTTCCACTATCCATAAATGGATCTGTAACCAACTTTTGGAAACTTGGCAAGAAGACTGGAACAACTGCACTACAGGCCATCCCACTCATGGCTTCATTCCAGACATCTCTGTCAGGCTGAATTGCAGGCATCTTGTTCCCAACTTTGCCCTGACTCAAGTTATCACTGGCCATGGGAACTTCAACACTTACCTCCACTGGTTCCGGCTACGGGACAGCAAGATCTGCAGGTGCAACACGAACACCAAGCAAGACTACCTTCACCTGTTGTTTGACTTGTCCACTCTTCGACAGCAACAGAGATAGACTCATTGAGGCTGCACTTTGTAACAACCATAACTGGCCATGTCCTCTACAAGCCCTAATATGTGAGAAAGACATGTACAGTACAATCATCTGAACAATTACCTGCAGAGCATTAAAGTGCTTACAGAGAGGATGAGAAACACTTAGTGACTGTTCCCTCATAGTCATGCAAATCTACTGAACTACAATGTTAATGCCACGCATTAATAAAAATCACTGTCTATCCTTTTGGTGTAACCCTGGTAATGTCAACTGTATATACATTTGTAACCTGTTAATTTGCTTGGGCTACCTGTATTCTGGCACCTAGCACTCACCCTGTATCTAGTTTACACACTGTTAATCTGCATACTGTTTTTGTTTGTTCTATCTGCGATTTGCCAAATAGCAGTCAACATGCAACTACTTTTTACCAATATTATTCTACATACTGTTTTTATGTTTGTTACCTATTAATACGTTTGTGCTATCTGTCGTTGTCACATAGCACTCCCCATGTAACTATTGCACTATTGTTAATCTGTTATTATGTTTGTATTGTCTACGATTTGTCAGACAGCTCTCAACATGTAATTTCTGTAACATTATTAATCTGCACACTGTATTTACATTATTACCTGTTCATATGTTAGTGCTGTTTGCGATCTGTAATGTGGCACGCCCAACCTGTATTCCTCTGTAACATTCTTGTTATCGTTATTGTTTTTTCTGCTGATTATTCCTTATAAAACACTGTTGCAGGACGCCCATGGATCCCATGTATGGATGTAGTCTGGTAGTAGGTGAGTGTTTACATAATTTAGTGTTTTTCCTACTACCTTAGACTTGTTGATTTTTGATATTCGTGGTCTTTGTGTGGGATCTGTACTTGTATATTTATTGAGTGTATTAACTAAATCTATGTCTGTTATCAATGGTGGATGAGGAAGTGTGTGTAGTATCATTAGTAGTTGTTGTGTGGGCACTATTATCAATGCTTGTTGCTGGATTATCCTGATAGGTTATGTGATCTTCATTAATGTTAAATGTTTCTGTCTATTGATGTATTTGATCAGCAATATGTTGTTTGTGGGATAAGGTTGTTGTGTATATTTGTTCTTTTCAATCAACAACCCTTTGTTTGGTGACAGTGAGGTGAGGATATAGTTGTTATCTGTATGTTGTCATGTTTGTTTCGAGTCTTGTGATGGTGTAGTAAGTACGGATGATAAACTCATTCATTTCTATTGACCATTTCATCTGTTGGTGTGGTTTTCCAGCCTTTGTGGTCTGGAAAACCACACCAACAGATCTTAACTTAATTGCCACAGAAACACAAAGGCTAAGTTGGTTCCTCACATTTTCTAACAATGGATGAACACTGAACTTACTGCCATAAAATGACATCATAATGTGAATCAACCTTTCAGGACTTAAAGCAAAACTGAATAATTGTTATATAGAGAAAGTGTCAGCTAATTATATAAAGCACTATGTTATTGCTATCATGTTATTAAAATAATTTTCTCACTATGGAAAATATGGATTTATTATAACAATAATAAATTGCTAATATTAAAAAAGTTTTTGGATTACCATTTTTATGTGAAGCAAGTTCATCTTCAACTTTATTTAATAAACTTTCTAAATCATCTAAAGCTTTTTTAACTTGATAAACATTTTGTGCTTGTTCCAATTTAGTTTGATTCTCTCTCTTCTTTGCCAAATATTGGTCTCTAAGTTCAGGATATTCATTAGCATATTTATCTAATAATTCTTTTGACTCTGGTAACCTTGCTAAATAGAAAAATGATAAAATAAAATTTATATGTTAAATGTAGTCAATGTTCTAAATATTAAAAAACATTTATTAATAACTTAAAAATGCAACAAATTTTCTTAATATCTTTTGCAAGCCATTCAAAAATGACAACAGTAAGAAACTGGTTTCATATATATATTTATATAAAGCTACACTGATCTAATCTCATTATTCATTCACTAACATAACACATGAAAAGGATACATCTATAGAACAGAATGACAGCCAAATAATTGATAAATTCTGTTTACTTTTGATTTTTTGATTTGATTAAATAACTAATACAGTAGAATCTTATTAATCTAAACCCCAATAGTACAAAATATTGATTAATCCAGGGTTTGTGGAAAACATGGAATTTTCATGAATTGTGTTAATGTTATATGCTTTTACCCAAAATTATTGATCAAGTAATGCATTACTTGTACAAAGTTTCATTTATCTGCATCAATGGCCATTAATTACAAGGACGTAAAGACCATCTCCCCCACTTGTCCTTTTATATACTAGAGATTCCCTTCCCCTTTCACAGAATGATCACTATTTTATTTGAACTAATATGTCATCCATTACAAATGCTGTTGTATCCAATAACATTAATGTTAAAAAAATTCCCAGGTGGTAGCGTACACACAATAAAAATATGCAGTGGATGATCGGTTAACAAACATAATCCATTCCAAGACTTTGTTTGCTATCCAAATTGTTCGTTAACCAATTATCAATTTACCATAGGTTTCTATGGGAATTTGATTAATTCGTTCTGGGGACCTCAAAAAACAGAAAATATATACTTTCTTACTATGTTTATTTAAGCCAGCTCTTATTAGAAAAAGTACCAAAAGAAATACTAATTAAAAACAATGGAGGAAAATTCTTATTTCCTCCATTGCCTAACTTGTCATCTATGCAAATGATGGATTTTCTTGCTTTTCTTGCTCTTAATTGCAGTTATAAGAACTAGAGATAGGCAAATATCACTTTACTCAAATTCAAATATTAACCAGATCTCACATCCCAAAACCTAGTGAACTTATTTAACTTAATTATCTTATATAACTAAATAATAAATATTACATAAATTACTTATTTCAATATTTTAGTAAGTTGTTTTTCTTTGAAATTCAGAGGTGCAGAAGAGCACACTTCTACACTGTGCACATTGGTGGATACTAAGGGATATCACAACACAAAAAAATTAAAATTTATTTGTTTGAATTTCAAAATGTTTTTAAAAACATTTATAATGATAAGTATGGTCTGTAATGCAATTATCGTGCACATGTTAATAAAGGATACTTACTAATTATTCAAATATTTAAAATTTTTGAGTTAATTTAATTTAATAGTAAAAATAAATTTGGAAATCAATGTAATGTTTGAGATTTTGAATCTAAAATACCTTCTAGTAGTATTCGCCCATCTCTAGTAAGAACTATATAGTTTAACTTTTTTATTATATTTATTCAAAAAGATTAAAAATTTATATTATTTAAATAAAATCATTCTTGAACTTACAGATCCATGCTTTTCTATCACTGAATGACAGCTTCATGTCTGAAGTAAAGTCTTGATTTATGATACACCCATTTGAGATTAATTCAATTGGAATAGAATCTAAAAGTTCTCTCATTTCTTTCACTTTTTGAGCACTTTCAGTGCCTCTTTCAGGCGTTAATCGTGGCGTATTTCCTATATTAAATTATTTCAGAAAAAATATAATTCATTAATTATATTGAATGTACAACATTAAAATCAAATTTGTAGTAACAAATTAAAATATTTTATAATAAAATTATTATGTTAATAAATACTCAATAGATATAACACTATAAAATATAAGAATTCCCTGTAGATTTATTGTGATAAAAAAGTCAAAGTTTTATTTGACAGCTGAATTAGATCATGAAGGATACTAACTTGACATGTTGTTACAAGTAAAAAGGAAAATAAATTAATACAATGATTATCTGATGGTACCTAACACATTATGTACTGTATGGATAGGTTTGATAAACCAAATATTCAAACAAACAATATTATAAATTATTGTAAAAAAAATCCTTTTATATTTTAAGATGGAAATTAAAAACATAATTAAACATCTAATTAAAGTGTATGTGTACTTTTATTCTATTTTAAATTGTTCTTAATCAAGTTAAGTAATTAGTTTAAAACATTTTAAAGGTTATATAACTAAAATGTTAACTTATGCAATATGCTTCTTATCTAGTCTTATGTTCAAATATACAAGCTCTAAGATGACATTTTCTTTTCCTCTAGACTTATTACACCAAACTTTAGAAGACAGAGGACAAACTTTAGAAAGACTTTTTAGGAAAACATTAGGAAACTTACATGGATTGTGAGAAATGCAGGAGTTGTGACATTAGATAAAATACAGATGGTGATTATTGATTAACAGATATAAGCTACAATAATAATTAAATTTAAAATGATTTACAAAAGGGAACGTTTAACATAGATGTAAAAATTTTTGAACTTACAGTGAACATGATGGCCTGCTACATAGTGTTGGGAAAAACATCCCCAGTATACACAACACAATGTTGAGTTAATATTAAGAAAATTGGAAACCTTGATCTTGGTTACAGTAAGGGTAATAGAAACCTTTTGGAACCAGTATGATGAAGTGAGGTTAGTGCACCATTAAAATAAAGGGAACAGAAAGAGATTGTTTTAGTTTATAGTAGAGTTTCACAGGGTGGGATGGTCCACAAATTGTAAGTGGGA